GGATAATTGGTGGAAAGCGCCCACGTGGAAACGTTTTTTGGTAAAGGGCGCCCAAACCTTTCCGGTCGGGCGAAAAGAGTCTGAGGCTATCGGAAAAAGAATCTGCTGCAGGTATAGTGCCAGGTTCACGATCCGGTAGGAAGGGTCCTAACGGTAGGGACCCAATCTCTCCCGTCCGGCATATTTTTGCATCGAACGGCCTGGGTTGACCGTGGGCTCATTTCATCAAGCGGGAGAACTTTGGGCGCCCTTTAGGAAAAAGGTCTCCACGCGGGCGCTTTTCACCAATTATCCCAAGGTGACCACAAAATGACTTGTCACTGTAAGACTATTGGGAATCATCATGATGCCAATAAGATTACAAAATAACAAAGTAAAAGCGACAAAGATGAAAGGAAAAGATCGTTGTTTAACTGCTGATACACTACTTATTTGTTCACTGACTAAGTTTGTTCATTGACTAAGTTTAGAACAAATTACTAATCATTTCACCAAAAAAAAAAAAAAGATTGCCAAGCATTGGTATGAAATGTGGAAAAGTTTGGGGAGCGCTCTGGAATCATGGGCCGCATGTGAGAGCCCGCTCGAGAGTGCCTTTCGCCACACTAAGCTCTCCAACGGGTCACTCTCCAAGTCTGAAAATGACAGTTAACTAATCTGGACAGGTTCAATCTAACCTGAGGCAGTCTGACAGAAGTGGTTTGTCCCTTTGAGCTCCACTCCTGAATCTGGGATGAAAATGGGATGTGCAAAGGAGCTGGGGAAAACTGGTAGATGTGGCCCATGGGAAAACCTTTATGGCAAGAAGGGTACTGTTCATTTTCTTTTTCATTCCTTCTCTGGTTGTTTGCCCAGGTGCAGCTTGTGCCGCCGATCTGGACCATTTGTTGTGTTGGTTCAGCAGTAGTAAGTAGTGAGCTTAGTATTTGAAGGGTGCTAGGGCTATCTTACCTTTAGTTTTTTGTTTGGATGGATCAGTTCAATTTTGCTGACAAATACCCGGACTGGGCCTTTAATAGGCCTGGTAACGGGTTGCACTTTTTGTTGACTTCGGGCACCGTGCACTATTAGGACTATATATAGTGTGACTGCGAGATACTCGGCCTCTTACGGGATGCTCACTGCCGTTTACGGCGGTGGTCGTTGGGTTCGTGGAATGTTTGGAGGATCTTGGGCGTGTGGAACATTTTGTTTTGCCGTAACTTTCGAGGTTTTTGCATCATCACACTTTGTCTTGTCTCGTCACCTACTCTGAGTTTCATCTCGTTGTACGTGTGTAAACTTGGCTTTCTCATGTTCTATTCTTGAGATATTCATTGACACTGTCTAATGCACGTGTGAACTGTCCTGGAGTTACGTTGCCGGGACAAGTGAGAACGCTTCTGCTAGTTACTTGTTACTTGTTACTCGTTAGTCGTTACTCGTTACTCGTTACTCGTCACTTGACACTTGGTATTTGTCACTTGTAAGCTGTCAGCGTGTTCTTAGTTGCCTCTGTTTGCATCGTTCTTTTGGACGACAGCGTCAACAACGGATGTGGCTGTTCGTTTGGTGCTACAGCTGTGCTCACTGGAGTTGTTTGTCAAGTTGGTTGTGCGGCCAGGGTCCTAGGTCAGGATGGCAGGATATGGCGACAACCGCGACAACGGAGGCAGAAATCGTGATCATGGTGGCGGTGGAAGAGACTGTCGCGGCTTTCGCGAGTACGGGAGTGGACACCGCGGATATGGGAGTGGTCGCGGTGAAGGTAGTGACAGGGGATTTGGCGGCGACCGAAGGACTGGGAGTGAGAGAGGATATGATCGGGGTCCTCGGCGCGGTGCCCTGATCTGCTTTAACTGTGATGAGCCCGGCCATTACGCAAATCAGTGTCCTCTTCCGAAGCGGAACGGCGTTCCAGCCTCATCAGCACACCGGGGCGGCCTCAGCCCACCAGGGAGACCAAGTTTCAGTAGGAGACCGCAACAGACTGATCCGCTGGAATCCAAGGTCGCGGAGATCGGGAAGACCGTGGCAGCGGTGTGCCAATTCGTGGAAGTTGAACAACAGAAGAAGGCAGCAAAAGAACGCAGAAAAGCGGAGAAGAAAGAGGCTGAGGAACGCGTTAAGGCGGAACGCGCTGCTGCTCTACTTAGGAAACAGAAAAAGGAAGAAAAGATTCGTAAGGAAGCTGAAAGCAAGGAAGAGTTACACAAGAGCTTAGATGTGAGAATGGCGGTTCGGGTGAGTGAACTTCGTGAGGATGTACGGGAGGACGTCCGTCAGGAGATTCGCGACGCTATCGGGGAGCTGTGCTTGGCGGTGTCGTGCGTGAAGCAAAAAGCGGTAGAACCTTCCGAGACGGCCGCAGAAAGCAGCGCTAGTAGCAGTGAGACAGAGGAGCTGAGCATGCGTACTCGTACCCTATGCATCTCGAAAAAAAGGAAACAGGGACCTGATGTGGCTTGCGAAGGCAGTCCCCCGATGGAGCTCCCTGCCAAGCGCACTCCGAGACGTGCAGCACGACCTGGGGGATTTGCTGGCAGACTGACGAGAGCTAAATCACGGACACAGAAGACGCCCACACCGAAAAAGACGCTGCCATCTATCCGGAAGAAGACTCCGGCTGCCATCGGCATAGTCGGACGTCTGAGATTCGAGAAGCGAGTGATGAAGGACCTAAAGAACTTGGATGTGTTGGTCCTACAGAACATCTGTAAAGACAAAGGGATACCGTACAACGGTAAGTTCGAAGCCATTTTTGGTATCGTCGCTAAGCGCACCCAGGTTGCGTATGGCAGTGATGATGAAGAGGAGGCGGTAATCTTGCCCGGAACGGGTACTGACGTGGAGGGTAATGTCAAGGAGTGATGTGCCCTCAGTATTGCTGACTTGTGGAGTATTGTACGGTGCCTTACTCATTTACGTACTTTGATTAACGGTATCGATGCTCGGATTGAAGAACTGCTTAGACTTGCTGTTGTCAACCTCTCACTGTATGGTGTCATCCGTTGGACACGTAAATGTGTGGAAGCCTGGGTGAGGCTCTTGGATACATTTGGACCGGATTTCTCCGTACTGTAACTCTCAATATGTAGGTAAGTCCACGAGACACTTGGATGTTCGCTGGCGTGAACATATCTATGCAGCTAAGAAACGTTCCCCTAATCATTTTTACCGTTGGCTCGACTGTTTTGGTGTAGATAACTATGTCCTCATACCTGTTGACACCATTGTGAACGACGACTTGACTAAAAACAGCGATTTCGTCAAAACGGAGATTTTATATTTTTTGAACGAAATTGAAATTGTCATTTTTGAGCTGATTTAGGTGCAAAAACCATTAAAAAGAGATGTTTGGTGTATGGTGTACGGGGTAAGGTGTAAGGTGTACGGTGTAAGGTGTAAGGGGTGAGGGGTAAGGTGTAAGGGGTAAGGTGTAAGGGGCAAGGTGTGAGGTGAACGGGGTAAGGTGTAAGGGGTGAGGTGTAAGGGATATGTGGTAAATTGCAAGRGTCAAGTGRCACAGCGTATCGAGTAATATTTKGCACCTTATAKACATTGTTTTTGTCACAAACCATCTTGTGGCATCCGCCCCCCCTCCAAATCATATTACGGATTATCATATACACACTACTCACGAGCCACTGTGTCCAAAGCCATTCGACGACGTATCGCGGGTATATCATCAGCAGTGAAAAAGAAAGGTGGAAGTTGGCCCCGTGCCAACAGTGATGCGTACGTTAGCACAAAGACCCCACACTCGTTCGTGTCGTGTTGCTTCGGAATGCACTCTACATTCCATATGTGATTGAATGGTTTCGTGTCCACCTCTTTGCCTTGTAATTTCGATCTTTCGAATATAAACTTTGTAAACCCGCCGGTCACCTTTCTCGCCAACTCCATGTCGGGGTCGAGGGAGTCGTAAAATTCGAATTTCCTCCTACTGAAGTCAGCCACGACAAGGGTCCAGTGGTTCTTGTGTTCGATATGGAAAGGAGCAATAATCAAGTCCATGTCACTTATGATAACGTCCTGACACCAGCGCTCTACCTCTCGACCTCTATATCTCATTTCATTGTCGAAAAGTTTGACGAACAAAAATGAGCTCAGCACCGATACTCTAGGAATGCGACCCTTTCCTTCTCTAATAACTATCTCATTCTCCGCGTCGCATTCTACGTGTTGTATTCTACACCAGTTGTCCAATGCTATAAGATTGAGGTAAAAGTTTATGACATTATCGTTTAACCACTGACGTTCTACAGCGAGTAAAAGGAAATCGTTGCGAGTGAGTTGCAACACCTCGTTCATGTATACGTCATGTGTGGTGGCTATGGGATACCTCTTCCCGTATTCGCGGATGACACGCGTCAAGGCTGCCGTCTCCCTCTTTGATAAAGACGAAGTTGCGAGATGCATTGTCCATCCTCTTTTGCAAAATCTTGTATCAATTGTTGTCATTTGCACTTCACACCACAAACATGAGGAATACGACATTCACGCGGGCGGATGGGGAAAGGATGGTGAGTGCATGGCCAAATGCTTTGTGGGAGCTAATGCAAGCAACGCATGTTTTCAATGTTTCTCTAATCT